GAAAGCTAAACACTGTTGACATACAGTGCTACAGGGTAAACATTCCCATTGCATTTCCATTGCAAAAGGGAGAAAAAGGGGGCTACAAAGGAATGAAACCAAAGCAAGACCAAAACCCATCAAGGCAAACATTTAACCCTGTAGTTCCATGTCCAGCTTCCTGGGCAAATGGTGGTGCTGTGAACGCCAAACAGCTTGGGTAACCCCGTTCTTATTGCATTGCTTGTGTTTGTAGCCCTCATGGCCTCTCTCAGGCTGGCTTTGTTCACTCCTCGAAGCTTTCCTCAGATGTTCCACATTCCTGGCTTTCCAGCATCCAGAAATCTATTGGACTTTCGGCTTCATCCTTGCAGATTCATGCCCTCTCAGGCACACTGCCTGGCCTCCATGGCCTTCTTCTGAAGTCTGTGTGGAAGCCTTCTTGACCTCACAGCTCTTGTGTTCCGCATACATGTAAAACAATCACCGTGTGGATGACACCAAGTCTGCCAGCAGCTGGAGCGGGAGCCAAGCACTTTTGCACCTTGCTTCTGGCTGCAGAGGCATCTGAGTGCCTGGCTGGCTGAGCATGATAAACTGAGTTCTGGGGAATCAATTCCCTAGGCAGCCCTTCTCTAACAGAGTGTCCTGGGACTCTCCACTCAAAGCAGTCTTTTACTTTGGCAATTTCAAGCCTTTGAAGGGTGAAGCCTTGATGGTTCCTCACATGCTCTTAAGCCATTTGTACTGTTCCAAAATACTTGGCTTCTTTTTCATGCTAATCTTTTCAGGAACTCGGCTCTCCTCTGCTCTATCTTTGCAGATCCCAAGTTTAATTGAACTTCCTTTCTGGGCAAACTCAAAACTGTTTAAATCATTCTGCTGGGCTGATTGCTCTTGATTCTCAATATTGATCTGGCTAAAAGTCCCCAAAAGTATCCAAGCCACAGCCTGAATGTTTAGCTGCCTTGAATTTCTTCCACTAAATTAACTAGTCTGCTGTCCTTCATCTCAGTCTCCTATACGTTCTCAGGATATGACTGAAATGTAGACAAATTTTCCACACACAGTCTGGAGTGCAACTGCCAATGGAGTCCTTGTTCCCAAATGAAACCTCTTTGAGTCCGGTGTTTTCTAGCTGCATTACTGTTAACATTCTGGTCTTTCGAACTCTGACCAGAATCTCCCATCAAGCTCAGTTTATAGCATTCTAGGGCAGCTTCTCCCACCTGTATCTCCAAACCTAACCGAACTCTTGCAAGCCAGTTCCAAAGGCCTCAACCACATGATCAAGTCTTGTCACAACAGTGACCCCACTTCTCTGTTATCAAAATCTGTCTTACTTACCTTACTGTTGCTGAGACACAATACCCAACACTCACAGCTACAAGGAGGAGAAGTTTATTTTGGCTCAAAGTTTATAGAAGTTTCAGTCCATAGTCTGGTGGCTCTAGGTCAGGACAGCATGGCAGAGGAGCAGCAGCTCATGGCCTGGCACCTGGAAGCAGAGAGTGAGATCAAGGGAGTGGGTGGAATAGCCCCTGCCAGGTCACACCCTCAGGGACCACCTCCGAGTGCACTAATCCACTGATGAGTATCAGCCCCCGCAATCCAGTCACTTCCCATAGGCCCCACCTATGTATGCAGGAGGCTTTGGGGGACATCTGGATATAAGCTGTAACAGAGAAGAGCTTGCATCAGAATGAAGGCAGAGATCTAGAGATCGTGGCTTGGACACCCTTTGCAGGTAGTGTTGGAAGACAGAAGAAGAAGGGAAGGTGTTTTCAGAGGTAGGGAGAGGACCAAGATAGTGAAGCATCTTGCAGGTCAAGGAGAAACCCTGTCATCACTTTGACTGTGAATTGGAATTTCATTTTCTGTGGTCCTAAAATTGTCCTTAGTATTTTTAACAGCACACCTGGGTCACTGCAACAAGAGCATTGCTACGGTGTGACATGTGTGTCCCGAAAGTGTCCCATGGGAGGTCCTGAGGTCACTGATGTGTGCCCTCAGGGGACCGTGGGGTCTGTGCACTCCTGCTTCCTCTTTGCTTCCAGGCCCATTAGGTGAGCAGTTCTGCTCTGCTCAGCCCCCTGCCCTGATGTGCCAGCTGGCCAGAAGCCCAGAGCAATAGAACCACTCAGTCTTGAACCCCTAAGAGCCAAAATAAACCTTTCCTTTGTATAAGTTAATTGTCTCTGGCATTTTGTTATAGTAATGTAAAGTGGACTAACACCATCTTCTTTAGATACATTATGAAACACTAGGTAGACTTCTACCTATGGCTCATTATTTAATGTAACCTTTATATTTGTTCTTGTGCTTGGAGCTAGAAACTTGGTCAGAGCTGATTAAACTTTCTCTGGAGAGAGCTAATTTTAAGTATTAATAGTAGCCAGTAATAAAGTGTTAGAATTTATTTATTTTTTTATTGCTATACTGGGGATTGAACCCAGAGTCTCATGTGGTACTAGGCAAGCATTCTACCACTGAGCTACATCTCTAGCCACTTAAAAATTTTTATTTTAAGTGAGGACCTCACTAAGTTGCCTGCTAACCTTGAAGTTTTGATCATTTGTCTCAGCCTCCACAGTGTCTGGGGTGACAGGTGTATGCTGTCGCACCGGGCTAAATGTTACCATGTTTTGCATACCTACTGTGTGTCAAGCACTGTGCTGTACATGTATTATCACAGCTTATCACACACTCGCCCAGTGTGATGTGCACGTTTATTTTTCCCGCTTCACAGAAGAGAACAGGAAATTGCTTGAGCTGTGCAACTGACAGGTTGTGAGCTGAACTTGAATCTGGAGCCATCTGTTCCAAAGGCCATGCCCTTTCCCACACCATTCTCATAGTGTGTAGATAGCTTGCAATAAAAGGCATGAGGGTACCAAAGCGTGGGCTGAGAGAAACAGGGCTGTCTTGGTTACTTTTCTCTCATTTCTGGGACAAAATACCTGACGCCCAAAATTAAGGAAGGAAAGGTTTATTTCTCTTACAGTTTGCGGAGGTTTCAGTCCATACTTGGCAGATTACAAGGCAGACTGGCACATGGCAGAGAGCTACAGCTCAGGGTGGCAGAACACAGCAAAAGCAACAAGCACACACCAGGGCAGAATGGCCTCAAGCACCCTTTTCCTCTCCCTTACGTATGCAAACTATCCACCCTAGGGCGGGTGTAGCTCTCACACCCATAATCAATCAAACTCTAAAAGCCTGCCCCATGGCCGCATGAGGCTTTGGGGGGACACCCAGACACAAACCATAACAAGGGCCAACTATTGTATTAGTCAGAGTTAACTAAGCCCATGAGTTAAACTTCCATGTCCTTCAGGTCCTCTGTGTGTCAGAGGCTCCACACCTGGAGTTCTCACTTGAGTGGCAGCCCAAGGCAGCTGTCCTCCACCGGTGGTGAGTCAACCCCTCTGAGCTTTTGGAAGCTGACTTTTCTATATTGTATCTCCATGTCCTGAGGACACCCAAGGGGTGGCATAGCCACTCTCCTTGCCTTGGCCTGGAGTTAACATTTATTGCTTCTGCTCACGTACTGTGGTCTAGGTCTTAGTCCTGTGTCTATTTAATAGTAGCAGACTGGGCAGTACAGTCCCGACATCGTCTGAAATGAGGAGAGAGCAGACGTCACAGTGGCACTGGAATCTGCTATAGGAATCCAGGGAAAGGATTAGGCACGGATACCCTGGACAAAGCCTCAAAGATTACCCTGACATTCTTCTGAACTCATTTTAGAAATGCAAGACATAGTTTTGTTAATTTCAGTTCACAGATTGGTAAGGACTACTTATTATAGTAATTTCTTACTAACTTCAGTATTCTGGGAGCATAGGCGTGCGGCCTGGCACAAATTAACTTCTTCAGTTGATTTTCCTCTGGATTTTTTTAGCGTAAATGGTTGCGCTGTTGGGGCGTTGATGGACTCCAGCACGGCATGTGACGTGTGGTGGGCACTCAGGGAAGGGAACTGACTCGAGCGGGTGTTGGGGTGAGCAGGGTGTGGGGAGCTGGAGTAGTGTGAAACCTCAGCTCGCTGGAGAGCAGGTTGCTGTGTTCCAGATCCCTGTCACAGGCAGTCGTTTCCTCTGCACTGAGAACAGCTTTGTCCTCATTTTCTTTAGGGGGCATGTGCTAGGGGTGAACCCTCTCACATTTTGTGTGAAAATACTTTTCCTACTCTCCCACCCTTAAAGTGCATTTTGACGGGTGCCATCTTGGGGCGAAAGCTGAAGGTCCTGTTCCATGTGAAGTCTCGGTGACTGCCGCTGTCTCTACCGTGATGTCCCCTGACATCTCCCTGCTGCCTTCAGTGTCTTCTGTCTTTATTTTTCTCAGTACTTTGGAACTTCCCTCTCCCTGGGTTTTTTCTTTTTTTTCCAACCTGGGTTTTTCTGTTGTTTTCCTATGTGACCTTCTCTCTATTTGTCCTGATTGAGCCATGAGGATCCTCATGGCCGATCCTTTGTGACTCTGTGAGTCCCACTGGTGACCAGGGTGACCCCGGGTGTGATCCTCAGCCCCTGTCACTGTGTAGTCAGGGGCCGCAGTTAGATGTCAGCACATTTCCATCCTGCTGCCTCTTACCCAGAGGTAATGCTCGGACTGCACCCAGTCATGCCTATTTCTCAGAGCCTCCTGGGCACTGTTCCCTCTGTGTGGAGTGTCCCCTGCTGGCTCTCTGCCAAACTCCTGTGCATTCCTCTAATCCTGCTCTGGGGTCACACTTTCTTACTTTTCTGCATGTGAGCCCCTTTACACCCCTTCCCTCCTTCCCAGAGTCTCCCCGCCATATTCTGAACTACAGAGAGGATGGGGATCTCTCCTAGCTTGGCTCACCCGTGTGCTCTGAACTGTCATCCGGACTCTCGTACATCCTGTCTGGATTGTGAGAAATTTGCCTGTGTCTTGGAAGACAGAATTAAGTGTGCCTAAGAGAAAATGCAATTGGTTTGTAGTGTGTTTCTTTGCCAGAGTAACCCATTTTTGCTTTTCATTTTAATTTTCAGTAAGTTCGTCAAAGATGAAAGTGACCTTATCGGCTTTGGATACTTATGAGACTTCTTTCACGCCTTTGGTGGTCATAGAACTTGCTCAGGATGTCAAAGAAGAAACCAAAGAATGGCTGAAAAGCAGAATTATTGCTAAGAAGAAAGATGGAGGTGAGTAAAGTGGTTGCAACTCAGGCTCATGCTCACCGACTGGCCCTGCCTCTGCTGTCCCAGACGTCCTCCTGTGCTTAGCTCACTCTCCTCACCCCTCCAAGACTTGGGAGGGGTCTTCAGTCCGTGCTGCCCACAAGTCCATTACACCGCCAGCAGGGGCTTCTCAGTTCCCACGCTTTGCCTGGATCCACTGGGTACCTAGTGTAGCACTTACAGCACAAGGGGTGGTAAGTGCGGTCTCTGCCTACAGGAAGCAGCTGGAGAGGGAGGAGACCCAGTGCTGCTTCCCAGAACTCGAGCAGAACCCAAAGCTCATTGGAAAGCTGTCCCCAGGCAGCGCCTTCTACCTGCATGTAACCCTGTGTGACCCTACTAGGGGAGCACAGGGAGGGGTACAGTGCTCTGTGAGTGTCAGGGAACCCGACACTGGCGTGGCCCTCTCTCCGGGTGGCAGGGGCTGGGTAGGTGAGAAGGTGGAGAGTTTCTGAGAACAAACATTGTCTGAGTCACATCAAACAGCACCTTAAGCTGCCCTAAGCATTGGATAAGAATGTTTATAATACAATGCCTATCAAATAGAATTTTGAATCAAAATAGGTTAAAAATTTTTTCCAATAATTGTACCAAGGGGAACAAAAAACACAAGTGTTGGTTGCTGGAATTTGAGGAGCCCCTTCTTCGAGAGCATTTGCAGTGTTGTGTCATGAACAACTCCAGCACTGCCCTGCCTGCTTCTGTGCCTGCTGTGTGTGTCCAGGGACACAGGGGATGGAAGGGCATCTTTGTGCACATTGAACGCAGCATTTATTCAAATTCGTAGCACCTTTACCCTAAATTGCCTAAGTGATAGTGTCATAATGCAGAGTCCATCAAAAAAAGGATACACACTTCAGAAAAGAAAACCTTAGGTAAGTATTTTAATACTAAACTTACTAAGACATCATGAGACAAGTTACTTTGGACCTCTACAATGACAAGAGGTGCTCAAAGTGGTGACCATGAGCTTCCAGACATTTATTACTACGATAACCTTGGTCATTGAGATTCTTGCACATGCATTTTCAATTTCTTTTCTGAGAGCTGGCAGTGTAGAGGGTTTTCTATGATATACAACATCCTCTAGGGTCCCTCACACAAGGATAACACCAGCTGTTGAAAAAACATCATACTTTTTTCTTTTTCTGAAGTATGTATACATTTTTTGGCAGGCTCTGTACATTAATCTTAATATATTAATCCATTTGGTAAGTATAAACTTTGCTAACACCTGATTATTTTCATAATTTCTATGTCAGCCATTTCTACAAGGCTAATAGCAAAGAGATAAACAGTTGTTCATGGTGGTACTTGCCTTGTAGTCCTAGCTACGCAGGATGGTGAGGCAGGAGGATTACTTGAGCCCAAGGGTTAGAGGCCAGTCTGACAATGTAGCAAGACTCCATCTCAAAAGTAAATAAATAAATGAAAGGCACATGCCTTAAAAGGTTTGATGTAGGTAGAAATTTGAAAAAAATCATTTCTCTCCATTATCTTATAAGTAGTAATTATATATGTGTTATGGTTGATACATTGTGTCAACTTGGGGAGTCTAGAGGTTTGGCTAAGTGACTCAACAGGAAGCCAGAGTGCTTACTTAGTATACATCCTGAGCCTGTGGAAGAGGAGGGCATGGAGATTATGTGAGAGCTACACGCCCCTCAGGTGGGGGTAGCCTGTTTACAAAGTAAGGCAGAGAAAGAAGCTGCTTGCCACAATTCTTCCCTTTTGCTCTGGCTGCTTTGCTGTTCGGCTGCCATTCCCCTTTTGCTCTTGTTGCTTTGCTACCTTCTGCCTCGGAGC